GACAAATGGCTAAAACTTTCCTTGGAAACAGAACTTGCTGAAGGAGAGTTGTTTTTGAAACTAGGAAGGAAAAATGTAGGAAGACAGTAAAGTGAAAGAAACATTTACACCTATTTACATAAGGAGCAAGGTTGGGGGAGATGTCACAATCTCACTAAGGGGCTGGTAGCCCCCCATCTGGAGCCTGGCTACACACACTATTTCATCTCAGAGAGTCCATGGCAGGTCGGTGGTGCCTTAGTTCATGGTGCACACAATCACGGGATAAATGCCTCCTCAGGGTGTAAGGCGGCACCTTGGCTGACCTGCTTCCTTGGCTAAACCCAGCTCACACTGTCCCACCCCTTTGCCACTCCCGGATAACTCCAGATTAGTTAAGGTGTATGCAAACACTGTGGTAATCCACCAGGCTCTGCGCAAACGTGGGTAAGCTACTGACAGAGCTAGCAGTCAGTGCTCTGTCCTCTGCTCCCAAACACACCATGAGGAGCTCTATTAGAGCACTGAACATCTCTGGGAGTACATCCCCATGTTCTTAAAGGCCAAGACTGTCCCCTGCTCATCACCTGTCCTACCAGCTGTGGCTCAGTGTCAGACACATTTCAGTCATCAGACACTGTGCACTGAGATAGGTGATAGGTAATGATACACGTGCTAAGTGTTAGGTGCAGTGCAGATCACACAGGCCCTCTAGGTTCCACTTGCTGAAAGAAACGTGGGTATACCTTTGCCCTGCAGTCAATGTGGACTAGGCTAGGCAGTGCTAGTAATTCTATCAACTCCCTGACAGACAAACGCCCTCTCAAGAAAAGCCCTGTGGCACATGAGGTCCTTAACTTTCCATCCAGGAGCCTGCTATTTGCCATAGGATTGGGCAATGTGTCTGTTATTTTAGGGGAGACAGTGAGCACTTCATTTCAGGTTTCACACAGACCCCAGCTGGTCTGGAAGGTCCTAGCACTTCCGCTGCCTCCCACCTCACCTTCTGCTTGGACAGGGCTCTGTGGTCCACGGCTGTGTAGCGAGGTGGAGGTGGAATTGGAGACGAACCATGACACTGATAGGGAATGCAGAGGAGTCTGGCATCAGGAGAATATCCAGACAGCACTAAGGCTAAGTTATTTTGCCTCTTAGAGTCTCTGCTTCCTCATCTATAGACTAGATTTAAAAATGCATACACCCTGTCCAACTCATGGGGTTGCTGTAAGGACCCGATGATATATTTAATATAAATGCACTTCAAAAAACATGTGTATATGCACACAACATACAACAGAGTAGAACACTGGACAGAAGCAAAAGTTCTTAATAGTACTACAATTTTAGAGAGTGTCAGGCTCCATGCTGGGTATTTCATATACATTATCTCTAATTCTGATAATAATCCCCAAAGATAAATATTTTACTATATTTCAGGTAAGGAAACATATGGATAAAAGGAATTCACACAGAACCTCAAAATGTAATTCTAGTCATCAGCTTTAAACACAATCTATATCCAGAGACTACAAAAGCCTATGGATTCCAAGAATGAAAAAGCACTGGAATGATCAAGGTAAACTGCAGGCTCTGAGTAGGTGGCTGGTTAAATAACCTGCAAAATGTCAAACACCTAGTTAGTGGCTTAACTGGGATTCCCATTCAATGCTTCTCATTTAAGTGCCAGACATTTCTAATCTACAGCTGTTTTCTCGGTAGGGTGATTTTTCTTTTCTTTTTTATATTCTTCAATATTCTCTAAATTATATACAATAATTTTACTTTTATGCTATTATTGTTTAAATCCAGTTTTATTTTCTAATATAATACATAATAATTTGTCTCTGATACACATTAGAATTTAGAATCTGATTATAGTTATAAAAATTGTGTCTAGGATTTTTTGTATTGAAATTCAAAATGTAGTAATGAAAAAAAAAATTCCAGGGAACCAGCAGTTAGCGTAATGGCTATGTCGCTGGACTCCCATGTAGTTGACCGCGGTTCGTGTCCTGGACCCGGTGGCTTAAAACTCACGCCGGGCGCGTGTGCGTGCGTGCCCAAGATCCCGAGAGGAGAATGGAGGAGAAGGGATTGTGGCGTGACCATCCCCCCTGGGGGGTGATTTCTCGCTTTCTGTCTCTATGTCTCTGTCTGTCTGGCGAGCGCATGCACCCTACAGTGAAACTCTCTCCAAAACAAAAACAAAAACAAAAACAAACAAACAAAAAAATACCAGAATATTGGTGCCTCAGGGACTAGCAGGTGGTGTGTTGCTTAAGGTGCTGGACACTCCCATATGGCTGACCATGGTTCGAGTCCCGGAGCTGGTGGCTTGCTTTCTCACTTTTCTCTTTCTCTCTTTGTGGTCAAATTAAAATAAATGAATGAGTAAATAAAATTAAATAAATAATTATTAAAAAGAGAATACTGGTGCCTTAAAGATATTAATATTGAAAATGCCATTTTAATTTTTATCTTTTTAAAATATTTTAAGTTTATTTGTTATTATTTTAATTTGATCAGAAGAGACAGAGAGAGAGAGAGAGAGAGGGAAAGTGAGAAAGTAAGCTGCCGGAACTGTAGTTGCCTATGTGGGAGTCCAGCACCTTTAACCACCACTGCCCCTATTTTTATCTATTTTAAATGCTTAAAGAATTTTTTTTGTGGATGGCCTTGCAGTAATCCCTTCTCCTTTCAGAATTTTGGGCATGCAAGCACATGCACTAGGTATGTGTTTCAGCTGCCAGGTCCAGGACTTGAACCACTCAGTTGACCATGTGGGATCCAGTTGCCTTAACTACCATGCCACCCGATGACTATTTAAATGCTATTTTCTAAAAAGAAATACTTTGAGGCTGGCTCTGTAGCCTAGTGATTAAGGGAGCCAGGTCCCACATGGCTGACCATGGTTTGAATCTGGCCCCGGCAGTGTGAAAAAAAAGTTACCCAACTTACATACACACGTACCCACATGTGTATGAGTGTCCAAAACCTAGACAGGATGGAGACATGGAGGAGAAAGGATTGTACCTTGACCACACCCCACTTCAGGGTATTTTCTCCCTTCCCTCTCTGGAGAGGTCAGGGGCTCTCTAGCAACTAAAAAAAAAAAAAAACTAATAAAGGAAATGCTTTGTAAAAACAAAAGCTGCACGGAACATTCCAGCCTAAGAGCAAGTGGCTCTTTAGCACTGCTGGAACAATGGCAAGTTGCTGAGCTTCTCTGAGTATCAGCTCTTTATATGCAAAATGAGTAAGAGCAAGGCCTGGGGCAGCTGCATCACAAGGCTGGTGAGGCTCAAATGGGAGCCTGGACATGAAAGCACTGCTGACTTATAAAACAAAACTGTATTCATGGACACCAACTGATTGTCCAGTGCTAGGAAAAATATGAGAGAAGACAGCCTCTGCCCTCCTGGCATTTAAATCTGCTGCTGTGTAAAATAATGTTAACACAGTAGGACGAATGTGACAGAGAAGATGAAGGGCTGGTGAGCAGAAAAGAATCTAACCCCAGTGGCTAGAAGAGACAGCTAAGCCAAGGAGGAGTGGGGACTGGCTGAGGAATAGGGAGAGGGTCTGGGAGAGAGTGTCCCAGATGGAGGAAGAGCATGTACTCAGTAAGGCCTGCAGGGGAGGTAGGAGGCCAGTTAGTGCCACTGCCCATCATTAAGCTGGATGAGCAGAGAGTACCTGGGGAGGAGGGATGACAGCTCAGTCACTACTGATGATAATAAACGTTTCTACTCTTAAGCACATATGTACACATCTTGTTTTCTCCATTAAAATGGGGATGCACATTTTCTTTCTTGTTTAAAAGAATTATTTATTTTACTTTATCATTATTATTACTTTTAAATTTGCTACAGAGCACGTGTGCTCACTAGAGAGAGACAGGGAGAGAGGGAGAGGGAGGAAGCAAGCCATCAGGTCCAGGACTTGAACTGTGGTCAACCATGTGGGAGTCCAGTGCCTTAACCACCACGCCACCTGCTGGTCCTAGGGATGCACATTTTCATTTCTCTAAAAGCCTGTTAGTCAACAAGCATTGATCCTACTGGAAGTGTAGTAGGTGTTAAGGACACAGATCTAAGAATTGACCTGGCCTTCAGAAAGAACGATGTCATTTCTCTATAAAGTCTTATCAGCCACACTTCCTGCAAAGTCACTAGACCCGTCCTCCACATTCTGAGAGTCTACAGAGCACTCACCAGCTCTCACATCTGGGGTATAATACCAAAGATGACCATCTTTCCCTCTAGCTCACACACTTCTCCTAACCACTCTGGAGTTCTTTTCAAGGTCCCAACCTGTAAGAGTGATTTCTCTGTCACAAGAGCTTTCTAGAGCAAGAACAGTGATGAGAGCAAGCTAATGAGAATAGTTACTGACTCGGTTGCCTTCTCAGTCATCAGCTAGACTCAGGCCCTGCAACAAATAGAGACCCAAGAAAATAAAAGGAAACTGAGTAATTAAAAGGGAGTGAGATGAACAGTTACAAAAGGGATCAAGAAATTTGAGAAATGTGAGACAGAGAAGGAGGCCATGAGGAGGGACCAGGGGAGGCTGACCCCAGTATGTTTACATGTCTGAAGCAGTGGTAGTTGTAGCTGCAGTAACACACACACACTTACATGGTGTTTACCAGAGGCCAGGTATGCTCTAAGCACTTTATAATACTACACTTTATATACTAAAGTATTTCTCTTCACAGCTCTCTGAGGTAAATATAATTACTATCCACATTTTGTAGATGGAGAAACTGAGGTACAAAGAGATTAAGTGATTTGCCCATGGTCACATAGCTAGTACGTGGAAGAGCTGGGATTTAACCTAGAAAGTTGGCTCAGAATTCAACATTTTAACCACTGTATTTCAACCTGAATGCTGAAAGGCAGGAGGAGATGGCCAGTAAAAGTTAGCCACGTACTAACCAGAATTTTTTTTAATAAACCTTAGCCCAGAGCTTCTCCAGCAGTGTGCTGTGAATGAGATACTGTCTCCTTACCAGGTCCCTGTCCCAGGGCTCACTGTTCCCATAATTCTGCTGAACAGTTCCATTTCCTGCCTGTGCCATGATGTCAAAGGTTGGGCCGTACTGCTCTAGCTTATATAAATACCAGGAATTAGAACTCCATTACCGTTATTATACTAATCTAAAATCTAATTTATCAGAAATTTCTTCTTGCTCTGAGATAGCTTTGTATTTTGTGTTTTCCATATTTTAAAAGATGAGCTACAAGCAAAGTCCAACCACATTATTCCATGGCAGTGCTCATCTAAGGAACAAGGAAGGCTACACTCTTCTTCTGCCTGACCTTAAAGGTGGTTGATCTGTTTTCTGATGACATCAGTAATATGTAGGAGTCATGCAAAGGGTACAAACAACAGTTAGTCAGCTACACACGAGCCACCTGTGCAAGCAGCCCAATCAAAGGACAGTATGTCTGCAAGTGTGACTCTAAGGTGCTAGGGTGTTTCAGAGGTTTTCCCCAAGAGTCCTTGTGGCTGGGGAGCATTATGCAGGTTGCAGCGTCTCATTTAGCTGCAATGACACTGGCAGGGAGGCCTGCGTGGGTACCAGTGGGATGATCACTACAAGCCTCACACAGAGCCAGGGTAGTAAGTCCCAGATGCAAAAGGTACTCAGATCTATTTTGTCTCTCTCTGTTCTGATGCTGGAATCACAAGTGGCCTTCAGAGGTGCCTCTGCATCATCTGGTACAAGGAAAGACAAGAGAAAGGATGTGATGGGGTGAAGGGAGTATGTGCTTAAGAAACAGCAAGCTGGAGTGAAGGGCTGGATTCGTGTGAGGAGCTGACCCCTATAAAGCTGACCAAGGCAGGCTACATCGGGTTACCCACACTTACTAATACGGCCTACAGGCCCCTTCAATACCTGGTCCCTGTCTACTTTCCAGCTTCAACAACCAACAGTCTTCGATAACAAACAGAAATAGTGGCTTATTTAATTCCACAAGTGCTTTTCCTTGAGACAGCCACTGGCCTCTGGTATTCAGCAGAAATGCTCTATGAACTCTTCCATTCTGCCCTACAGAATATAGAGAAGATGAGTTACTCAAGGGCTGAGAGTCAATAAAATTAATAAATTTAACTGCTTCATCAAGGACATTCTTAAGTGAAAACTGCATTTTCAAAAAACTGGCTGTGAGCAGTAGAAAACAATGCCTGCTGGCCTAGTTCGGCTTAGCTAAATCCTAGTGCCCGACTAAATACTGAAACCATGATCTGCTTAGACAACCTCTCACCCACACCTCTTTCTGGAAATATCAGGAAATTTCAATGTGAAGTAATCTAAAGAGTTAAGTGAAATGTACATCCAATCTTAGCTCATCAGCAGCAGTCTACCCATACTTGCTGTGCAACCACAGATAACATCTGAGTACTATTATGAACATAGCTCTGATCGTTCAGATGATCTGAAAGGGCTTCAGGGGCTCTCAAGGTCTGGAGAGTCTTACCACCCGCTGTTCCAGGCAACGGGGAGGGCCTGAGGAGGCCCAGAGCTGTGCCAGAGGCCATCGTGCTAGCTTGGTGTGCAGAACAAACTGGAGGCTGCCCAGAGGTGGTGGGGCTGCCCAGAGGTGGAGGGGCTGCCCAGAGGTGAAGGGGCTGAGAGAGCCTGCCTGAGCAGCCTGGACGAAGGCAAGGAAGGCCTACAACCAAGTGGGGTTAGCAGGGATGGAAAGGAGGAAAGACTCAAAGTGTGAGGGATTGAAGCCACAGCGCAGCGTTGGTCCTAGTCCTGTCAAAACAAAGGAGGTGATGAAGGAGTCAAAGACTATGCCGTCATGAAGGAAGTGACAGTGTCTACTTCCTCTCTGCTCCTCACCCCCCCTCCCACTGCCTACATGGACTCAGGAAGACCCCAGCACATCTTTATGAGTACATATGTTGTTTCATCAAAGTCAGGTAACCATAAGAACAGTCAGTCACACTATCAAGGGGAGAATTCTGGAAGAGGAGCCAGCTTGGGGATGAGGAGCAGGGGAAGACAGTGGTGCCACTGAGAAACTTCAGGTGAAGAAGAAGGCGAAGACGCATATTAGCAGAGGACAATGAAAACTCAGATCAGGCCAAAATGATTCTCACTCGGGCCTTATCTGACTCAAATCTATAAATGAGGCGTTACTTATAACCTGCCCGACAAAAACCTCCAATTAGAGTCTAACGTAGAACACTTCAGGATGTCATCATATGTGTCATAAAGAAGTTTTTAAAAAACCTGAAAAAATACCTCTCAAATTACTAACAACGGTTATATGGGGAGAATGGGACTGGGTGGGTACAAGAATTTTACATTTATACTTCTGCTGTATTTGACTTTATTTTGTTATTAATGCAGTTGTTTTACCTTTATAATTAAAAGTCGGTAAACATGTTTTACTTACTGCTCGGTTTTCCTTATGACTCTCTGTCATTTTACTCTGGTAGAAATATGCTCCTCCTTATTAAGTCACTGTCTCAGTCATGCCAGGCAGCTTAGCTAATCCTACTGCCCGACTAAATACTGAAAACCATGATCTGCTTAGACAACCTCTCACCTACCCCTTCCTCTGGAAATATCAGGAAATTTCAATGTGAAGTAATCTAAAGAGTTAAGTGAAATGTACATCCAATCTTACCTACAAGTCTGCTCAGTTTTTGAGAAGTGAACCTCTTAAACTCAAAATTCCAAATTAAATAATATTCCTGTGCAGCGTTGGTGTCTTCTAGCTACAGGAAGGGTTTCGACAGCCTCTGCACACAGCTGACGTTCTTCAGTTCTCCGTCTGCCTCTGTTTCATCATATCTGGCAAGAAAATCTTCAAAAAGCAGAAATAGGAAGGATATCAAAATGCTGACGTCTTGAAGAGGGCCAGAGAAGATACAGATCCACCCGGGTGTTCCCCAAACCAGGGTTATACCAGTAAGTAGGCAGACACAAGGATGGGGCTGACAAGTGGTGAGGTGATTAAGGGTGCTGGACTCCCATATAGATGACCGTGATTTGAGTCCTGGACCTGGCGGCTTGCTTTCTCACTTTCTCTTTCTCTTTCTTTTTTTTTTTTTTAAGAATTATTTTATTTAACTTTATATATTTATTGATCTTAATTTGATCAGAGAGGAATGGAGTGAGAGAGAGAGAGGGTCCAGTACTCAAACCGCAGTCAGCCATGTGGGAGTCTAGCACCCTTAACTGCTATGCCACCTGCTAGTCCCTCTTTCTCTCTCTCTCTCCCCCCAATCAAATTAATAAAATAAATAAAGTGAAATAAAATAACTCTTTAAAAAAAAAAAAAACAAGGGACCAGCAGTTGGTGTGATGGCTATGTCACTGGACTAAATGTAGTTGACCACAGTTCGAGTTCCGGACCCAGTGGCTTAAAACTCACACACGGCGCATGTGTGTGCATGCCCAAGATCCTAAGAGGAGAATGGAGGAGAAGGGACTGTGGTGTGGCCATCCCCCCTGGGGGGGGGGTGATTTTTCACTTTCTGACTCTCTGTTTCTGTCTTTCTGGCCCAGCCCCTAGAAAAAAAACCCCCCCCCCCCCAAAAAAAAAAAAAAAAAAAAAAGTAGAGACACAAGGTAATCAGATTTCTCCAGTCTTTGAAATCAGACATTTGAATATTTGAAAGTGCTGATATTAAGCATTAGGAGATATAACAAGGGTCTGAGTAGAAATTCTCAGGGTCTGCTTCCACTGTGGGATTTCAGACCCCAAAGGATGAACTGGATCCAGATGACAGAGATGGACGCTGTTGTTTACCTCTGTGCCATCTCACGCAGAAGGTAAAAGGGGACACTTCCCTGCTGCCTGCTTGTGAGAGGTGAATAGGCTCTGACTTCATCTGCTATTGGCCAGATCAAACTTTCACAGCCAAGAGGCAACAAAGCCAGAAGATAAAGTATATGCTGAGCGCAGCAGGTGGCAGGACAGAACAAGGTTTTGTGACAAATGCATAATTACTGCTAGTTTTCTATCTAATGACTTCATTTTCTGTATGTCTCCTCTCCTATTTATTAATCCTGTGGCTCTAGAAATCACTTGTTAAGTTGTTTTGTCAGGACCAGCAGATGGCGTAATGGTTACGTTGCTGGATTCCCATGTTGATCAACCACTGTTCAAATCCCAGACCTGGTGGCTTAAAACTCATGCTAGGCACATAGGCACGTGTGCCCAAGATCATGAGAGGAGAATGGAAGGGGGGACTGTGGCGTGGCCATCCTCCTGGGAGGGTGATTTTGTGCTTTCTATCTCTGTCTCTCTAGTGAACACACACGCCCTATCGCAAAACATCTCTCTTAAAACCAAAGCCAAAACCAAAACAACAAAAAAAGTTGGTTTGTCAATGTCATTTCTATGAAATAAACATGTACTTCCCCTTTATCAGGAAAGAACTCTGAAATGCAGTTTAAGTCTGAATTCTAGGTCTTTGCCAAAACTTCTGAAAAAGCTTTCTAACTGGAAGCTGCATGTGTTTTTCACCATGACCTCAAACCACATGTCCCAAATTGGACTCATCCTCAGCCCCACTCACAGCCTCCTTCCTCCTGATTTCTCTTCCTCTCTGCCAGATTTCATCATCCTGCGAGTTACCCAGTCGTGAAACCTTTATATCATTTCTTAGATCTTTCTCCTCTATCCCCATAAGCTCCAAACGCTCACAATGTCAAGCTTTCCCTGAACCAGATATGTAGCTCCTTGAAAAATCACTCTTAGGGGCTGGCAGGTGGCATGGTGGATAGAGTGCTAGACTCCCACATAGGCCACCACAGTTTGGGTCCCGGACCTGGAGGCTTGTCTTTTCATTCTCCCACTCTAGTTAAATTAAATAATAATAATAATTAATAAAATTGAATAAATCTTTTTTAAAAAAAGAAAAATAACTCCTATTCATGTATTAAGGTCCACACAAATTACCAAAAGTAGCCCTGTAAATTATAGAGGCAGTCCTGACTCTTTTTCTACTTCACCCAGCATTTATTTGAACCTACAGTATAACAAGGCAGGCTGTACAGGTGAGTAGGTGGCACTGTCACTAGGCTACAGACGCTTCAAAAGCAGGGACACAGCTTTTTCATTTCTCAATCACCAGCATCTAACACAGTATCTAGCACAAAAAAGGGCCGCAGTGAATTGGCCAATAAGCTGGGCCTGGCTAGGCATCTGTGTTTTCTCTCTCCATGAATTTCCTGCTGTACTGGGAATGAAATTTTTCCAGAGCTCAATAACTAGACTCACTATAGCAGTTTTAGAGCAAAGCCCTATAAACAAGGGATCCACGACACTACTTTCAAGACAGAAAACATTGGGGTGGGGTGGAGCACACAGTAGATCCATCCTTGTTCCCAAAAGTCAGATCTGAGTCTGTCACTTGTTTGCTCTGAAACCTCTACTGGGTGTCCGCTGCCTCTGCCAAAACGAAGCTCCTGTGCTATCACTTAGGCCCTCCGTCATCTCGCCCCAGTCCACCCCACTCCTCGACAGAAGACTTAACCCGCAGTCTAGTCAGTAGGGACTGTTTCTACCTAACTGCTCTAAACAACTGCCAGCTTCCCACACTTGTGCATAATTCGTTCACAGTACCTGTAACATTTTACTACACATCTCCCCCTAGACTGTGAGCTGGAGATGGTGCAGAGACTATGTCTGATTCATCCCTGGATCCCCTCCACCCCGCACAGGCTCCAGGGTGGAGCAACCACCCAATAAATGTTAATGAATGAATGGAAACATCTGAAATTATTCTCTCCTTAAGCTGTTTTGTTGGACTCTTACTAGCAGACTGAACTGAGTCTGGGTCACTGCCAGGAAGTAGAAAGACTGCAAAGAAAGAAAAGCAGCATGACCAATGGAAAATAGGTTGTAAGAATGAGGTGAAAGAAACCACAGCTGTTTAGCCTGAAGAGTGGACGAGGCCTAACTGAATTCTGGCTTTAAGTACAAAAGAGGTTCTCATTAAAACAAAAACAAACAAACAAACAAAAAAACCCAAACTCACTCTAGAGGACCGACCAGCAGTTGGCATAGTGGCTATGTCGCTGGACCCCCATGTAGTTGACCACGGCTGGCATCTTGGCCCCAGTGGCTTAAACTCACGCCGGGCACATGTGCGTGTGTGCCCAAGATCCCAAGATGAGAATGGAGGAGAAGAGATTGTGGCGTGGCCATCCCCCCCGGGGGGTGATTTCTCACTTTCTGTCTTTCTGTCTCTTTTTGGCGAGTACACGCACTCTATAGCAAAAATCTCTCAAAAAAGAAAAAAATTCACTCTCATCCTCCTTTTATCATCAGAAGGAACTTTTCCATATGCATGAAAAATAGAAAAAGAAATGGCTTTTGTTAAGGCCAGAGGCATTTAAGGTAGAGAGAAAGAAGAGTCAAGTCAGGCACCACTTTTCCAGAGATACCATTACTGTACTTCTTGGAAAGTGAATTGGAGGGCTCTTGCTTATCACTTTTGTTGAAAGCGGTGCAAAAAGGAATCAATATGCTGCTCAGGTCCTGTTTACTGTGGGGAGAGTGGGGAGAGGTGGGTGAAAACCCCAATCAGGTAGGATTTTGTATGACCCTCTTCCTATAGATACTTTCCATTATCCACAGTTTGCTTCACAACCCTGTGATGGAATGATCTAGTATTTCAAAGTTTTCTGATAGGCAACGGAAAGAAAGAGAAGGTAACCATACAGGAGTAAGACAGTAGGGAAAATGGCCTCAATAAATATACTTTCTATAAAAACATGACCCACCTGGAGATTAATATAATTGTTAATATTATTACTATCAAAGATAAGGTTCAAAGAGCATCTACTTTGTACCAGGCACTATGTTGTTTAAGATAAAAGTTGTTTTTTTTTTTTTTTTTTACCGAGAGAGAGAGATTTTTGCTATAGGGTATGTGCGCTCCCTGGAGAGACAGAGACAGAGAGATAGAAAGTGAGAAGGGGCCTCTGGGGGCGATGGCTACACAGCAATCCCTTCTTCCCTATTCTCCTCTTGGGATTTTGGGTACTCATGCACAAGCACCTGGTGTGAATTTCAAACTGCGGAGTCTGACTCAAACCATGGTCAGCCATGTGGGAGGCCAGTATCTTAACCACTACACCACCTATTGGCCCCTAACAAAAAACATTTAAAAATCCCATAATAACCCCATGAGGTAGGTAACATTCATATCCACATCTTTCAGATAAAGAAACTGAGACTCAAGAAGATTAAATGACTTGCCCAAGTCACGCAGGTAGCAAGTGGCAGAGCCAGGACTCAAACCCAGGTGGTCTAAACAGAGTCTATATACCTAACTGCTGTCTCCCTGAACAATGGATGAGAGGCTGGAACCTAAACCCTAGTCTCTCTGAATCCAGATTCATATTCTCAACCACACCCTTGCACTGTCCCACACCAGGAAGAGCAGAGCAATACACGACAGGAGGAGGAGACGAGACCTAAGAATTGACCCAAGATACCTGCCTATTACAAGGAAGGCAGCAAGGACTGAGGACACACAGTTGGTAGAGAGCAGTACCAGGACCCGAATACCAACCTCTTGACTTCAGGGATAGTGCTCATCCCTCCATTATAAAGTCTGGTTGAATTTGTTGGTGAGAAAATAAGGGAACGGGATATGCCAAATGGGTAGCCTCTCCAGACACTTTTATAATGAACTGCCAGTCTCACATTAGAACCTGTGCTTGAAATACCAGAGTTCCTGCTGCCTTTGTAGACTGATTCAAAGATTCTGCTGGCTAAGAACAGCAATGCAGTGATTTATGGAACTGCGGGACTGCCAACATGCTCCCATATTAAACTACTCAAGCTGACCTAGACCAGGCAGCCTCCGTACTAGGCTGGTGGTTCAGTTTATGCCAGAACTGGACTATTCCAACAGCCTCCTCACTGATGTCCCTATTCTGGAACCTTCTTTCTTCCACGTTAGTCGCCATCCTGCAGCCAGAGTAAACAGAGCCCCAGTCACAGCATTCAGAGCCTTGTAGAATAACAGAAGGGACATGGCCTTTGAATCTAGCACCACTAGGTTTGAACTGAGCCACGCCCTCACTAGCCACCTTGGGTAAATCACTTCAGTCTTTCTGAGGTCTGGTTTCTTCATCTTTAAGTTGGGAATAAATATCTCTATATTACAAGAGCGTGGGGATTAGATAAATTATAGTGTGCAAAGCATTTAGAACATTCCAAGCCACAAAGCAAAGCAGACACTTGATAAATGTTAGTATTCTTCCTGCTCCTAGCTCCTACATTTTGGCCATAATCCACCATTTCAACTTATTTTCCCACCTTGCAAACTCTGCTTTCCTTTCCTGATATACACATGCACACACACACACACCACTCTGTGCATTTCTGCATCCAGACCATTACTCAGCCTATTCCTTCTCTTGGAATGAACTCCCTCCAAGGCCCAGCATAAATTCTCTACCTTCAGGAATCCTCTGGTCATGCTGGGATTGATTTCTTCTGCTCCCAAACTCCTACTTTGTTTACATTCCTTTTTACCATAGTCAGTCTGATTTCTGTTATTTATGTACTTATCTATCTTCCCAACTACACTGGAGGGAGAAGGCTAGGAAGACAATTACTTATAGTAGGGCAGGAAATGTGTTGTTTTCCCCTGTGTATATTTCTCAACATTGGGTCTTGTACCTAGCAAGAGCTCAATATGTGCTTAGTGAATTGAATCTTTCCATGCCAGACTGGGAATCTTTCAGAAATCTCCTGTTCTGAATTTAGTCTAAAACTATGCATTTACTACCTAATTTGATAAACAGGCAACTTTGAGATATATTAATATTCTCAAACTAAGATCCACGAATACTCATGTGTGCTTGATTAATTTCTTCATCTTCCTTCCAACATACTCTGGACTCCTTCCTGGACATTGTGCCAACTTACAAGGAGACACAGCTGGGAGGATGTCTCTTACTCATGGAGGGAGGGTGATCTAGGAGCAAGCTCTTTGGAGAACTATTCCAACCTACTGGTTAAGAGACAATTGCCATTAACCAAAAGAATCAGAAAACAGAACTGGAGATGTTTATCTGCTTCAGTTTCAAAGTTTACAAAACAGAGTTAAAAATCACTTAGAACAGTGTCTGGCACATATTCGATAGTAACCATGCAAGCAATAAATGTTAGATGTTACCTTAACAATGTAGCAGACTGGATCGACCAGAGTCATGATGTTTCACTTCTAAATCTATCTCCTCCAATGTCTGTCCTTACACAATCTTGATCAAGTTCTTTCCTCATCTGTAAAATGGAAGCAATAGAACCAGATAGTTCCCGAGCTCTGTTTATCTTCAACCATGTAAAATTTTCTGTGATCAACAAAGAACCTTCTGTTTCATATACTGAGGATGTTAGCATGGAAAAATGTGAATTTGTAGCTGCGGGTCTCCAGATGGGAGGGACCAGTTTCCCAAGGCCAAGGGCAGAATAACTGATTAGTGAACCACCTGTGAGTTTCCCTTGGGTGAGCATATCACACCAGTGCAGGTCTCTAAACAGAGCACTACCTCCCTCAACAAAACTCACAGTGAAGGCAACAAGTAAAGGCAACAAAATAATAGCTTGTGCAGAATTCCTGCATGTTTTTGCTTTTGACGCCTGTAATTAGGGCATCATCAATCTAAACTAGGGCCCTCTGTAGTCACCAAATGGAGGAAAAACACAAAGTCCCATTCTGAACCTGACAGCTCATAAAACAAGAACCAAATGAGTAAATAAAAAATATCACTGACTCATTTAACTACAAAGACTGCAGAGGCCTACTGTGTGCCATCCCTGTGCCAGGCAGAGGACTGAAACAGACAGAGCTCCTTGCCACCAATGTACTTAGGGTACACGAGGTGGCACACCCCAAGACAGACTGTCCTTGTGGTGAGAACCAGATTAGAGGTTCAGTCACTGCTACAGTTGTAGGGAGGGGGAGCAACTAAGTTGGCAGAAGGGCCAGCAAAGCCTCATCAAGGACATCATGTGAGACATGGGCCTTGAAGGATGAGAAGGAGAGAACTTCAGGGAAAGGAATACAAGCCAAGGCTGGATGGAGCAGGAGCATGAAAGGAATGGTGAGGAACAAGGACGAGGCTATTTTGACCGGGTGCAGGGTGCAAGTTTGGGAAAACAAAAGGAAACACGGCAGGAGGAGGTCTGGAAACAGACTGAGGAGGGCCTTGCCTGTGAGGCTGAGGAGGCCAAACTCTATACAGCAGGCAATGAAGCTCACCAAGGTATTTCTTTTTTCTTTTTCTTTTAATTTGCTAAAGGGTGTGTGCACTTGCCAGAGACAGACAGATGGGGGGAGTAAAAGGGGGAGTGAGACAGTACCTCCCAGGGAGGACTCCTGCACCACAACCCCCTCTCCTCCGCTCTGTCCTTAGGATTCTGGGCACACATACACATGTGCCTGGTGTGTCTCCATAGCCACCAGGCCCAAGACTCAAACCACCAGCCAGCCACGTGGCCACTGGCTCATCCACCACCAAGGTTTCTGAGCAGTGTCTCAGGAAGATCACATGGGTACCCATGAAGAGGGTACAAAAGGAAGCAAGTTAATATATTACTATGGGACCACACAACAGGAGACCACATGCACTTCCAAGCAAGAGCTGGAACCTAACAGCTCCTTTCACAGAGTTTCTCTCCCCCAAGGTTTGGCTTCATGCAACCTGAATTGCCAGACTCCCAGGCCATCAATATCTGCTAAAGACCTAGAGTATTAGGACTCCCAGGCCAAGTCGGCAACTCTCTAAATTACAGAGGGGAGCTAAGGTGGAATCAGTTGCAGGGGGAGGGTACCAAGTCTCTAAGGCTGGTTTTTCCATATGAAAATGGAACCCCGAGTCTCCTCTTCACATCACTTTCAGCCCAGCTCTCTTTAGAGGGGCTGAAGCTAAGGATAGAGTGCTGACGAGCACCTGGGTAATGGCAGAGATCCAATGAGACATAACCAACTCTCCAGCTTGGTGCCTGGCACATGTACACGCGATGCTTACTGCATTAGCTCCCTTCCCGTCCTACAAAGTTAGTTCCATCTGCAAATTTCACGGTCACATCAACTCTTCTCCCAGCGCCTACTTAAAGTACCTGGGTTTAAAATGACCTAGTTTTTAGAAATCACAGCTACCATATATTCAGTACCCATTACACGACAGGTGCCATACTAGGTGACCGACATTACAAAGTTGGTTCCATCTGCAAATTTCACCAATGCTTCAAGGCTCCGGTCACATCAACTCTTCTCCCAGCGGCTACTTAAAGTACCTGGGTTTAAAATGACCTAGTTTTTAGAAATCACAGCTACCATATATTCAGTACCCATTACACGACAGGTGCCATACTAGGTGACCGACATGTCATCCCATTACAGTGACTCTAGGATGCCCATTTTATAAAGGAGAAGCTGAAATTCTGAGAGGTGAAATGACACACAGCTAGAAGGCAGGAGAGATGAGATCGGAACCCAGATCAAGCGCTCCCAACGCTTCAGTTCCTGTCGCTGGCTTCTCTCTGCCGTGACAGGTAGCCTCCAAGCTCTGTACTGAGAGACTGCACCTGACTGTCACCTCTCTCTATTGGACAGACACCTGCACTTGTCAGGAGCTCTTAATATTGCAAATTAAGTGAAAACAGTTAAAATAACGTAGTATACCATTTGTATAAATTCCTCACATAAAAAACTATCCACGACATTGGGCTGCCTAAGCCTCAGCCTTGACTCCTGGAAAGGACTGAGTCCCAAACTGTCCACAGACTGAGGCTCCGACTCTGACACTGACTCAGCCCAACCTCAGGCACAGGCTCAGCTCCCACCCGGGACAGACGCTGCAACCTGATCTTGTCACAGACGGAGCCCTAACAGGTCACAGATGGAGTCCTGAGGACAGTCTAAAAAAGCGTCCCCTTCGGCTGTCCCTCCGCACCGAGTCGGGTCGTGACCTCGGGTCGCTCAGAAGGCCCTGACTGCCCCTCCCGAGCACAGGGACTCACCCGCAGACCCTCGCCCCATTTTGCTGGAGAGACACCCCGCTGTCTCGATTTACCTCAGCCAACTCCCTGCCGAAGCGGCCGCGCGCACCCCCACCTGCAGATGTCTCCGCCGAGAACGCGGAAGAGGCGGAGCTAGCCTGGGGGGGCGGGCCCGGCCAGAGATGGGCGTGAGGGGCGGGGCCGCGCCTGCGTCCTGGCGGCCCCCCGGAGGCGGGACATTTGCTGAGCAAACTGCGCAGGCGTAATACGAGGCGGGTGGGAAGATCACCGTTTAAGGGTGGGGCTTGGCATCTTGGACGCTTTCCAATGGCAATGAAGCGTCGGGAGATCCGGAAAGCTCTAGGAGGGAAGAGGGAGGGCCGCGGCAGGTGTAATTACCATTTACTGAGCGATTCTCTATGCCAGAAAAGAATTCTTAAATGTCTTTTAAATATGAGCAAATGCTGCCAGTCTCTTGAAACAGGAGCTGATTCTGTAAAATTTCGTTAAAAGCCTAGGTACTTAGAATTTCACCATGAGAATTTCTCCTCTGTATTCCAAAATTTTATAAAACTTAAATAAGAGTTTATTACTTGGAAAAAAAAAAACCTGCAAATAAATAACACCTCAGTCAGCCTCTACCCCTCCCCTAGGCTGCTGGAGCGATGAGAGAAGATGAGAGTGCTGACTTGGATTTAAGTCAGGCCCTGACTCTCAGCGTGTTTCCCTCTTTGGGAGATGCAGTAAACATCCCTTCCCTGTCTTTCTCCAGATTGTGAAGGTCTGGCTGAGCAATGCTTGCTAAGGAGACTCTTGGAGTTGCTTCCTATCATCCACCTGAGAAACATTTGTTTAGTTTTCTTTGCTGTGCTCATCTTCTCATCTGTTTGATAAAAGGCAGTGAGGAACATTCAGTCTGGGTAAAAACTGGTGGGAGGATATCTTTTCCCAGGCTTCTGTGTTCAGTTTCTTCCAGAATCAGTCCAAGCTGAAGGCCCCTAGCCAGCCTGATGTTTTTCACCTGTCACCATGGAATCCCACATAAACTTCTGGTCTTCAGAGCCCTTGCTGGCCTGTACCCGGGCTTCCGACTGAGTCATTCAGCACTACATTCCAGTCTTAGGTTCTCAAAGCTGCTAAGTCCCCTGCATCTGCAGGGCAACCAAATTCATTTAATATCAGATGAGGGCCGTGGTAGCTCTCAGAGAAAAGAGAGCTCCTCCAAGTCAAGTAGAACTTCAGCCATACTTGTGGCCCATTTCCCCCACATATTCCACAGCCCCCTGGGGGTAAGGAGAAAAATGGCAGCAGAAAACTTCAAAGAAGCTACTGTGTTCATGGAAGCCAAGGGCATCCTTTACTCAACAGGTAGATGCTCTGTCCCAGGGTGGGGAGGATGGCCTACACTCTCATTTCCTGCTCTAAATATTATGGATCTTGAGCCAACAGGTAAACAAAGCCTAGTTTGGTTTCTCAACCCAGTTGCCGCTTCGCCTTTCCTGCTAGGTTTTGCCCTGGGTGGGTTGGTTAGGGGGGCAGCTCTCTTCTCTGTATTGCATCTCTCTTCTCTGTCTACCTGACTGTTCTCTAAGAATCCCTCTCTCAATCTCTCAAGACAGTTTGTGTCAGCTTCCCATGGAATGTGCAGGCCTGGGGTCACATGACTCACAGATAAATCTCTCCTCACTGCCATGGTACATCTTAAAATGACCAATAGCCCAGAGCACGTACTTCTAACAATCTGAACTGTCCAGTGACTGAGGAGGTAGTGAGTGAGCTATCATTGGGGGTGTGCAAACACCATCCTTTTAGAATGCTGAACTTGAGCATCCTCTGGAGAGTCAGAAGGTACAGAAGAGTGAACCTTCCAGATCCTAGAGCAGTGGAGGTAGGGATTCTGGGGGCTTACAGAGGACCCAGGCAGCTGACCAGCGACAAACTTGATTTCATAAGCTGTTACATGTCGGGCACTTAGAATTCAACTCTGGTCTGAGCAGCATGTGGGTTAGGAGCAGTGGGATGATGGCAAGACCCGAGTCAACTGGTTCAGGTGTCTCCTGGGGAGCAAGCTCAGGAATCAGCCCACCAGTCCACCTCTTCTTATTCTTCTTTTCTTTTTTTTTTTTTTTTGTTGTTGTTTATAATCGTTCTTTTTCTTTTTTTTTTTTTGAGAGGTGTTTGCTATAGGGCGTGTGCGCTCGCCAGACAGACAGAGAGAGAGACAGAGAGACAGAAGCGAGAAATCACCCCCCGGGGGGATGGCCACGCCACAATCTCTTCTCTCCATTCTCCTCTCGGGATCTTGGGCACGCACGCACACGCGCCCGGCCTGAGTTTTAAGCCACCGGGTCCGGGACGTGAACCGTGGTTGACTACATGGGAGTCCAGCGACATAGCCACTACGCTAACTGCTGGTCCCTTTTGGAGAGGTTTTTGCCATAGGGCATGTGCGCTCACCAGAAAGACAGAGAGACAGAATGTGAGAAATCACCCCCTGGGGAGGTGGCCACGTAGCAATCCCTTCTCCTTCAATTCTCCTCTTGGGGTCTTGGGCATGCATGCACACGTGCCCGGCGTGAGTTTAAGTCACCGGGTCCGGGACTTGAACCGCGGTCAACTACATGGGAGTCCAGCGACATAGCCATTATGCTAACCACTGGTTCCCCCACCTCTTCTTCTTGAGAATGGCTTCCTCTCCTGTAATTAGGGTTGGGACTGTATTTCTACTCCATCTTTTCACCCATAGCTTCAGAAAAACACCCAGATTCAGAGAGTGGTGTGAGAATAGCCAGTGCCGTGTGACCTGAGCTAACACAAGGAAAGATTTGACATCAGGTGGCGTTCCTGGAAGGCAACGGCCAGCTCTCCCTACCTCAAGGGTCCTAGAATTCCAAGGGCCCTGGGATAACCTCAGTGTCCACACCCTGGAGAGCTGAGCCAGATGTGACCACATCGGTCACAGCCCTCACATGGTCCAGGATCTCAGGACAAAAAATCCCTTACACCCATTCTGCCAGCTCCTTTCACAGTCTGCCAGGAGCCATGTGGCACTTGGACCACACTTCCCACCAGTGGCTGCTGTAGTTTGATTCCTTTATTTACCAAAAATAACAATGATAAAGTCTTCCCTCTGTTTCACAAAAATAGATTTTCCCACTTCCCCTCCCCGTAATCAGCCCTTGCCACAACCTAGAATTGGTCTTGCCAGCCACAGTTTACCCTGGAGAAAGCACTGACTCCCCTCACTCCGGAGCCTCTGGCAAAGCTGCCAGGTCAGCGTATTTTCCTTGGGAATGTCTCTGGAGGCAGCAGAGCAGGAGTCCCAGGCCCAGCTGGCCAGCCCCAGAGGGCAGGCTGCTTCTAGGTCATCAAGAGAGGATGATTTTGGATGCTTGGCTCAGCAGATCCCAGTCAACCCAAAGGGCGGTGGGGCAGTCTGGCATCAGACTGGAGGTCCTTGCTCAAAGCAGGAACAGTTGTGTCCTGGAGAGGGTCTGCCAAGCCCCTTCTCCATGTGCATCTCTGTGCAGCAACTGCTGGGCCTTGTTGTGGACAAGGAGTTAGGGCCCCTGGTTTCTAGTCCAGTTCCACAGCGAGGTCATGGACACTTTCTCCCTCTTCTCTTGGCTTCCATTTCCTCCTATGTACAGTGAGACAGTGAGACTGGATGATTCTTGGGTTCCTTTTTGCTCTCCATCCTGGCCTCCCAGTGGAGGCCTTAGGAAGGCAAAAGCCATTTCTTCCTCAGTTTCCCCACACGGGGCTGCACACGGAGATACTGAGTAGTGGAGTGCTTAATGAACATCCCAGTCTACATGGAGGGCTGTGCACTGAGATCCAGTTGGCTGGAATGTCGCAGAGATGGTGGGAAGGAGGCAGGTACTGTTAGGATTGGGGCTCTCCAAGCCTGGAAGAATCTGTTTATCAGCTGCATGATCCTCGGTACTGGGAATCAGGATTTGGGAATTGGGAATCAGAGTTCCCAATTCAAGTTGCACCAACTCCTTGGACTGGAGGATCATTTTGTGGTGGGCTTTAGATTCTAGGAGCCAGGTCTTCAGATTCTGGGAGTGAGTCTGGAGTCATGATTCCCAGTTTAAGGGCCAGGGGACCTTCATGGACATGAGGGATCATCCCTAACTCCAGGAGGCTGTCTAGAATCTGGCTCTCCTGGAGGCAGAGGGATGATGGAAATAACAGCTCTGGGGCATCTCTGGCTGAGCAAATCAGAATCTGTGTCTGCAGTGGACAGGGCTTTAGAAACTTGGGGTGGGGCTCCCCGTTAAACTACCCCCCCCAGCTCCCCGGGACTTATGCTGATGGAGGATGGTAGCCTGGAATGTTCAAGTGCCATGCCACATCTACACCACATCTTGTGTTCTCACACACATGGTTAGAGACACTGAATGGGGACAGTGACTCCTACAGTGGTCACGGTCTGATGATCCTAATCTCTTAATCCATACACCTACCCATTTATCCATCCATCCATCCATCCATCCATCCATCCATCCACCCAATGCTTATGGAGGGCCTACTACTATGTGCCAGGGAGGGTCTACCATAGCCAGCACTCACACATATACCCACAGTCAAAATCATACACACAAGCACACACACACGCACACACACTGGCACCTGTGCTCACTCACACACAGGCTGCTCACTCTTGCACCTTGCCATCACCTCAGCCATGTCTTCATACCCTGGAGAGGCTTTGGAACCACTACAGAGGGGTCAAGTATCACAGTAGAAGTCCTCTAGCCTACCTGACCCCACCCTTAGACTTTATCCAGAGGTTTAACTCCTCTTTTCCTTCTGTTTGCCACTTCAAAGCCTTTCTTGTCTTCATTCACCAGCAGTAAGGGGACACGTGGGCAGACTCCTGAGAACTAGAGGTCCAGAGGTTTTGGGCAAGTGGAGGGGCCCCAGGCCTTCCAATTCCCCTGCACAACTCCTGAGAGTCCCCTCCTCTAGCCACCATGAGTTCAAATGGTCCATCTGATGGGCGATAGTGTCCAGGCCTGGGCTCAGTTACAGATCCTCTCTGTCATCTCCCTCTGTAGAGACACAAGGTGGGGAATGGCCTGTCAAACAGCCCCTTCCCAAAACACAGGGTCCAGCTGCTCTTCTGCTTGAACCTGGCCCCCTCCCAGCCCCAGTCCTGACTCCAGGCTGCAGATCTGAATTTGAAAACTGGCACCTGGGGCCGGCAGGTGGTGTGGTGGTTAAGGGCACTGGACTCCCACATGGTCAGCCGCAGTTCAAGTCCCGGACTTGGTGGCTTGCTTTCTCACTCTCCTCCCCTCCATTCTGTCCCTCTCTGGTCAAATTTAAATAAATAAATAAATAAAATTAAATAAAATAATTCCTTTTTAAAAAACCTGGCACCTGAATGAATCCTCTATTAAAGTTTAGAACCTATGGTTAAATGAATTGCCTTCCTCTAACTTACCCTCTCGGGTAATGGAGTATCTTAGAGCAGGCAGCCTTTGGATCTGAACCTCACAGGGGCTAGCCTTGTGGGAGGCAGGGTGAGGAGGAGGACAGAGGGGGGTTGGCCTCACCAGTGGCTCCAGCTCCCGCTGGTCCACCAGGCTGAACTCGCGGATGAAGTAGTAGAAGTGTTTGTAGCAGGTGTTGACGTGCGCCTCTGCGCCCATGTTGAGGATGCTGTCGAAGTGGTGGATATAGACGTGGACAAAGACGCGGAAGAGGCGGGTCAGGATCTTGGTGCAGACCTGCTGGAAGTTCTTGGGGAAAGGAACTCCTGGGGGCAGGGAGGGGCAGAGAAGGGATCAGCATCCCAGTGACAAAACTGCTCCACTTTACCCTCCCTCACACAGGCAGCCTTTCCTCAGGATGGCTTTTTCCTTAGCACGCTTCTCAGCACACACCCCATAGGGAGACGTTGCTTTCGCTTTCCCATACCTTCCTTTTTAAATGAAGCACGAATCTGACTGTACCATTCCCTTGCTGAAATACAAATCATCTTCCACATTTCCCTATCACCTAAAGAAGGGCTCTGCAATCTTGTTGAGGGTCACCGAGCACCACTTCATAGACTACGATGGCCCAAATTCTCCCCAGAAGTGTGTGCGTCCGCAGAGAGCCACATATCACACCCTGGTACACGATTCCAAAGGGAGTTCAACTTCTGGGTCTATATTTTAAAAATCTGGGCCTTTGGGGTTCAGTCCTAATGTCCAAGCATGGCACTGCTCAAGGCCTTCATGATCTGATTCACTCTCCCTCTCCAGTCCCTCCCTGAGTCCTCCTCTTTTCAACGTTCACACAGCAGGCTCCACAGCTCCAAGTCTGAAAATCATTAATTCTTCTAAAACTATTCCTTCAGATATTTAGGAACACAAAGAGCCTTCCATCTGTGAGCCAGGCCCTATGCTGGGCCCTTTGCACTCTGGCCTCTAATCCCCACAGTTCTGTCAGTTACTCCACATGATAAAATGGAGGTGCATATGGGTGGAGCCACTTGCCAAAGGCCACGTTAATTAGTACAGATTGAAGACAGGATCCAAACCCTCCTGCAGCTCACTGCCACACCCCTCAGAGTTATATGATATAGACTCTGCTCACTGGAAGTTCCAGGACCGGAGTCTCACAGGCTCTGGGACTTAAAACTGAAGTGAGCAAGAGTCTGGATTCAGGTCCACAGCTGGCCTGCCCAGCATTGAGGGCCCCCTTCCGTTCTTCACTGCTCTCAGGAAGGCTGCCCCTCAGACTGACCCTTCCATCTAGACTTGGGGTCCTGGGCCATGGGTGACCTGAAATCCAACTTCAGTTCAGTGCACTTTCCCACTCATGGCCTTAGTGTCCTCCTGTGTAAAATGAAGATACTCATTGTTGATCATGACAGGGCAGGACGTGGCAGGCCATGGCTGGGGAGGGGTGGGGGGGGCTGGAGTAGGGGCACGAATCTGACTGTACCATTCCCTTGCTGAAATACAAATCATCTTCCACATTTCCCTATCACCTAAAGAAGGGCTCTGCAATCTTGTTGAGGGTCACCGAGCACCACTTCATAGACTACGATGGCCCAAATTCTCCCCAGAAGTGTGTGCGTCCGCAGAGAGCCACATATCACACCCTGGTACACGATTCCAAAGGGAGTTCAACTTCTGGGTCTATATTTTAAAAATCTGGGCCTTTGGGGTTCAGTCCTAATGTCCAAGCATGGCACTGCTCAAGGCCTTCATGATCTGATTCACTCTCCCTCTCCAGTCCCTCCCTGAGTCCTCCTCTTTTCAACGTTCACACAGCAGGCTCCACAGCTCCAAGTCTGAAAATCATTAATTCTTCTAAAACTATTCCTTCAGATATTTAGGAACACAAAGAGCCTTCCATCTGTGAGCCAGGCCCTATGCTGGGCCCTTTGCACTCTGGCCTCTAATCCCCACAGTTCTGTCAGTTACTCCACATGATAAAATGGAGGTGCATATGGGTGGAGCCACTTGCCAAAGGCCACGTTAATTAGTACAGATTGAAGACAGGATCCAAACCCTCCTGCAGCTCACTGCCACACCCCTCAGAGTTATATGATATAGACTCTGCTCACTGGAAGTTCCAGGACCGGAGTCTCACAGGCTCTGGGACTTAAAACTGAAGTGAGCAAGAGTCTGGATTCAGGTCCACAGCTGGCCTGCCCAGCATTGAGGGCCCCCTTACGTTCTTCACTGCTCTCAGGAAGGCTGCCCCTCAGACTGACCCTTCCATCTAGACTTGGGGTCCTGGGCCCTGGGTGACCTGAAATCCACTTCAGAACCCCGCCCCCCAGTTCAGTGCACTTTCCCACTCATGGCCTTAGTGTCCTCCTGTGTAAAATGAAGATACTCATTGTTGATCATGACAGGGCAGGACGTGGCAGGCCATGGCTGGGGAGGGGCTGTGGGCACTGAATCGTGACTCAGTGCCCAGCTTCCTTCAGCATTCAGACTTCTCCCCTCTGGGCTTGACCACCCTGCCCCGCCCATCTTGGATTCCCACAGCCTGTGCAGGGATGAACAGGGATGAGGCCAGCAGGGGCTGAGGCGTAGGGTACAGGTGGGGCTGCAGTGATGAACACAGTGTCATGCCTGCTCAGCTCCCAGACCAACACCCTGCTCCGCTGCCCCTGGGTGGAGAAGCTGAGCCAATATGACATCACTCATCTCCTCTCCCACCCTCACCCCCTGCAAGCTGCCCTGCTGAGATAAGAAAAGTCCTCACAGCCGGAGATGGACAGGGGAAATTCTGCACTCGGAGCCCCGTCTGAGGTGAAGACACCATTCCAGTCCACTTGAGCCCTGACCTCTTTTCTCTCCTGGGGCTAGGAGGCTGAGAGAACTCCTAGAATGCTAAAGGTCAGATCAGCCCAAGTTGGGGAACCTGTTCTGGAAGGTTATGAGAATCACAGTGTCTGTGATCTTGCTGGAGTGGTCCCTGGAAGGACAGTGAAGTTTCAGACAAGAGCCCCAAAGGGGAATCAGGTGGTCCTAGTCAAATGCTTGACCTCGAGGGCCACCCAGTGGCACAGTGGGAACACAATGATCTGTAATGGTGACCCACATGGGAAGTTCTGGGTTTGCACCCAGAGACCTCCCTGAACATGCCAGGTGCCTGCCGGTGTGCACGGCCCATGATATGGCTGGTTGGAGCTGGGTCATGCCGGGAAGACTCCATTGGGGGCACCTGTCTCTGTCCCTCTGTCACTTGTAGAATAAATAAATAAATAAATAAACAAATAAATAAAAGTTTAAAAACAAGGCAGGACTGGGCCAATTGGTGACATTGGTTAGGATGACTGAATCCTTGACTGGGGGAATTGGTGACATTGGTTAGGATGACTGAATCCCACATGGCCAACTGCATGGTTTGAATCCCAGACCTGGCAGGTTGAAAAACGCACCATACACATGTGTGCACGTGCCCAAAATTGGAAAAGGAGAAATGGAGAGAAGGGACTGCAGTGCGGGCATCCCCCTTGGCAGGGTGCTTTCTCACTTCCCCTTTCTGTCTGTCTCTCTCTCTCTGGCAAGTACATGTGCCTTCTAGCAATTTTTTTAAAAAAAGAAAAAAAGAAACAAAAGCTTGATTTTGAGCAAGACATTTTAACTGTCTCAACCTCAGTTTCATTTTCTACAAAATGGGAATGAAAGTCGCCCCTCCCCCACGGCTGGTACATGGAACTACATGCCTCCTCCATGGACCTCTGGCTCCCTCCCTCCCTGGCCCGGCCTGGCTGTCGTGGCGCTCACCAACACGAGTGGGAAACACGTCCTCGTCGTTGATGAGGCCCTCGATCCAGTCCATGAGCAACGCCATGTAGCGCGGCGCCGAGAGCTTGGCCGGCCGCCGGTACTGGCGCTCGTCCTGCCAGCGGTACTCATAGCGCGGCCCGCCGGCCATGACCGGGCAGCTGGTCTCGTTGCAGTGCTCGGCCATGGTGCCGTAGATGAGGTTGATGCGGTTGAAGAAGTCCACCACATGCACTGCGATCCAGTCGTCGATGTTCTCCCCAGGGGGCAGCCTTACCACACTGCGCAGGTCCAGCCCTGACTTGAGCGATGCCTGCGCCTTCTTGTAGAGCTCGAAGCGCTGTGTGCCTGGCTCGAAGCGCTTCCTGGGACGGAACGTTTTGTCCTTGGAGAATACCTGCTTCAGGCACAGTGCCATGGCCAGGCAAGGCAGGGGTGGGCGTCTAGAGGCACAGACCTGGAGATGCCCTGCCAGGGACAGAATGGGGCAGTAGGTGGTGGGGGCCTTGACTTCCAGCATACCCTTTCCCTCTCATCTCCCAGCCTTGGGTGAGCCTGTGCTCCCTTTGCCTAGACTCTCAGTCCCCATCTCCTAGGTCCACACCTTCCCAGGCTACTTAGCCATCCTCCCCCTGCCAAGCCCCCACCGCACTCCCATCTTGTTCTGTTTCCTCTCTGCTTTCTTCTGTCTCACAGAGGCCTGGGCTCCCAACAGGTGCTCAGCCTTGCTGTTGACCATCAGGTCACAGAGGCTCCTGCGAGGCCTACCAGGAGGCAGGAGCCTGGAAGGGACTACGTCTGGGAGACCCACAGGCCAGCTGGTGCCACATGGGAAAGTCTAGTGCATTGTGCTGGGGGCAGGAGGGCCCCCCGCCTTCAGTTTCCTCTGAGATATCCCATAGTTCTTCCGGCCACCGGGGATTCCCAGGGAGCAGGAGGGACTTTTCTACCAAAAATGTCCTTTCCTTTTACCCTGAAAGAGGAAAGGGCCCTCACTTGGCCAGCTGGGAGGCCTGAGTGTGACTGCAGGCGCTGGAGGAAGGGGGAGGGAGGCAAGCCTCAAGAGCACTGCTTCCTCTCACAAGGGCTGGAGATCCTTCCTCCAAGTCACCTCGCCAGTCCCAAATCTAAACAGGCCACTGACTCCTCCTCCTGCACCTGACACTCAGGAGACATTCCTAAAGCACCTGCTATGTGCCTGGCACGGGGTCGGGGGGTAGGAGAAGACAGTCAGGTCCGCCTGCTGGGCCCAGCTAGAGTTCATATGCATTTGCTTTGCCTCTTAGAACTCAAGGATCCCAGATTCAGAACAGACTTGGGGGACAGTGACTACAGTTCCAGACTCAGAGGTCTTAGGGCTAGTCCCAGCTCCACCACTGGCTTTCTGGGTGACCTGTAGCACCATGGATAGTGACCCATACTAATCCTGGGTCACAGCTGGGTTTCTGAGACTCTCAGGGTGGTCATCCCATCTCCCCTGTGAGCTCTTGGGAAATGCAGACCCAGCTGGGACTGGAATGGAGCCACTAACCCTGACCCCAGGCTGAGCACCTAGGCTATGTACAGGCCAAGCACTGAGCTCTGCCTCCAGGTTGAACTCTTACCTGGTTTTCACCCAGGTCAGTCTGAGCCCTGACTTTAGCCTACACTGAGGCACAACCACAGACAAAGCCTGCCTGGCCTTGACCTTGGACTGACTAGCTGACACTGGACCAAGCTGCTTTCTTACATCTCCAGTAATGCCAAAATGGGATTAGGGAAGGGAAGGTGGAAACCAGGTGACAATTTGATGAGACCAAAGGCATGGGGAGGAGTCAGCGTGTGGGGGGAGGTATTACTTCTGGCAAGAAGCCAAACCAGCTGGACGAGGCATTTGGAACAAGGGTCCTTCCTTGTATCCACAACAGGCAGGCTGGGATAGGGACAGTCAAGTAAGATAAGAGCAGTTTGGAGAGTAGGGACTGCCGTCTCTGCTGCAGGATTTTGTCCTGTCAGAAAGAACTCAAAGATGTGGAAGGTCATCCCATCCATTGTGGACTCCTCAACTTTCCACCCAGAAATCCCTAGGGTGGGACCTGAGCTTCCTGGCCAAAGAGGAGATTTCTTTTTTTCTTTTGGAGAGGTTTTTGCTATAGGGCGTATGCGTTTGCCAGAAAGGCAGAGACAGACAGAGAGACAGAAAGAGAGAAATCACCCCTCAGGGGGGTCAGCCACACTGCAATCCCTTCTTCATTCTCCTCTTGAGATCTTAGGCATGCACGCACATGCGCCCGGCATGAGTTCAATCCCTTCTCCTCCATTCTCCTCTTGGGATTTTGGACATGCACACACTTGTGCCTGGTGTGAATTTTAAGCCACCGGGTCTGGGACTTGAACCACAGTTGACTATGTGGGAGTTCAGCGAAGTAACTATTACACCCTCCCATGTGTTCTCTTACACTTGCCCTTCCACCTGACCACACATGGTCAGAGTGAATGTTACCTCCCCTGCAGCCTTCTCTACTGAACCAGACCTCCTTGTCCTCAGGTAGAGGCTGCTGTGTGGCCACTGCTGTGGCCACCCCACTCTCAGCTTAAGATAGGGCCTGGCACAAAGCTGTAAGGAAACCTTAGACCCAAGCATTTTAGAAATAGTCCTGAGAAATCAACTGGCCCAACTCACTCGTAAGATGGGGAAACCAAGGCCTAGTAAGGGGGTGTGAGGAGCCTGCATTCAAAGAGGGTGTTAGAGACAGAACTGGAAACTGGTGCCCGATGTCATGGGTTCAGTCCACGACAAGGAGTAAAAGGACCATTTCCTGCACTGACTGGTCACTGGTCTGGTGGAGATGAGAGGAGGGGAGAGAGGGGCAGCATCTTCTCCATCAAACAGACAACCTGTTTCCCACCCCCCACATGCTGACCTGTGAGCTAGAGTCCCACCCTCCTGCTGCTTCAAGGCCTAGGGGGAGGGGGTCTTCCTAGGAAACTGTAAGGACAGGAGTTGGGGGGCTGGGGGTTGGGCAGGTGTAGGCCAGGTGCCCTGCTGTCTATGCTACCTCTCGGCCTTCACTCCCCACCCTCATGCCCTCACTGAGCTGCAGTTTCTCACAGAACCTCTGTCCCCACTCTGACTGCTGCTTTTCTCTCTTAGCACCTGTTCCTAAGGTTGGATGTCCTTTTACTTCTAGAGTGGCCAGGGGCTTGCTCACTCCCTGGTGGGACCACTTGTTTCTGACGCTCAGCTAGCTGCCAAGCCACACCTGCCAGTCCCTGGGCCTGGTCCGGATCTCACCCGAGAACGGCTCTAGTTTGAATCCAGAAATCAGCTTGGGCCGCTCTGTATGGCGAAGATCCAAGAGAAAAGTAGAGGCGAGGACTCTTCGCTCTCCCCGCGGGGCTCAGTCTCCTGCGGCTCCCCATGCCCACCCAGGCCTCCTAGAGGATCCCTTACACCTCCTACCCCCACCCCCCCTGCAGCTGTCAGGGCCAAGAAGGTCATAGGACCCGGAGGAGCCGGCCTGACATTTCCGCTCCCCCAGACACGCCCCCCTCTGCCTCCGCCACCCCCAACCCCGACTTTCACAGCTCTGAGCCCAGCTAGGACTCCGGACAGGGCTGTGGCCAGCCTTCGGGTCATCTCCGGGCGGTGCCACGCTGGGACATCGAAGAAATGAAAGTGGAAACAGGCTGGGCCGTGCGCGCGGCGGGGGCGCGGCCGCTCCCTCC